AAAAAAAGGTACCTTATGTACCAAATACATGTCTAGAACTCCACAGTTCATTAGGACAAGTCCCTCCAAAAAGCAAAAATTAAAACAAAGAACTTAGATTGTATTTCTAAGTCAGTTGTTACCAGCCCCCTGCTCTGCTAAGAAGTTCCTGGCTGCCTCCACCACTTCCATACTGACTTGAATATTCTCAGGCAACTGATCCATCCTCTCTAGTCTGTCTTTCCCAATGTGTGGTATCTTGTAGTTGTTTCCTCCTTTTTGCACTAGAATCTGTTCCATCACACATTGTAAGGTCAAGAAGACCTTATTCAATTTTTGAGGGGTTAACTCCTCAAATGCAGTCTGCACTGCATTGATCAGTTCATTTATGTTCCTTGGGGCTTTTTGGTTTTTGAGACTGTCTATTGATGCAAAGAATCCCAAGTCTAATACATTGAGATCAGGGCTGTTAGGAGGTTGGCACTTTATAGAAATGTTCCACCCATCTTCTTGACAGCTCTAGACTATGTCTGGATCACCAGGGTGTACATGAGGTTTGGCATTGTCTTGTTGTATGATGACATGCTTAGCCCTTGCCTGAGGCCATTTGGCCTTAATGGCAGGTATGACCTGATTCAGCATCATTTGCTTCATCACATCTCTGTTAACAATTGGAATGGGCTTTGTTTCTAAAGTACCTGCAGGCCTGTTTTTACTACTCCTCTTTGCTCCTTCCTGGAATGTGAAGGGGAAAATACCCACTTTTCCATCCCAAATGCTTTCACTACTGCCCTCCAACATTGGTCTACCCACAACTGTTAGGAACATTATTTTGGGTATAAATTTTTTTGACTGAGTTGATCTGTATGGATCTTCTTCATTGGGGAGTGTGTAAAAAGTACTTGTCTCTTGTGATTGTTGGAACCACTTCTCATCTATGTGAACATAGTCATAAAAGTGATGAAATGTTGGGTTCATAGGTATTGTTTGGGGCATGATATGATCTAAACAAAAACGTAGTCTTTTAACCTTACCACTGTCTGTCAGCAAAGGCTTGATTGCATTCGTGTGACGTCGAATCTGCTTTTCTTTGAGTAGCCTGTGCACTGTGCTTTTTGATACGTTTAGTTGGTATGCAACTGCACGAATGTTTTTCCTTTTATGAAAAGGAACTTCAACCAGTTTTCCTAAATCACATGTGACTCTTTTTCTGCCCACACGCCCCCTCATTTGTGGTGCCACATTAATGGGTAAGCCTGCATTAAATTGTTGTTTTGCTTTGGTCCATAAGGTGTGAACGGCCCATCTGTTAGTGTTGAACTTCGCCGCTACTTCTTTAATGGCCCTCCGCTGAAGTTTACAGTCTTCTTTGGCTTTTCCCATTAGCATTTCAACTATGCGTTTCTTTTGAGTATCAGATAGTCTGTGTATTGTGTTGTTCTCCTGCTGTTCTGCTTCGTTTTCCTGCACAGGTTCTTCGGGCTGCCCGGTATGCACTCCACGAGAAGTCGATGTGTTTGTCAGAGCTGTCCGTGGGGAAACAACCTCGACTAAACGTCCCATATCGCTGAATGACGCAGTAGCTCGAATGCTAAGGGTGGGAACATCGGCGTCAAAAGATGGATCGTCTCCACGTGAAGCCCGCGTCGGATCTTTGTTGAGATCGAACTCATGGACAGTCGGGGGCAGATTGAGGTCAAATACATGAAGTGTGGATGAAGATGGAATTGAAGATATGTCATCCATTTTGGGTTAGAATTAAATACCCCTCTTCAATGCACACAACTCATTTATATGGGCATTGAAGAGGGTGTACGTATGGAAAAAATTGGGGGGAAACAATGTTAAATTTTAGCTCTTTTCCCTCTTTATTTTAAACGAAAATTGTGTGTGGTGTATTTGGTGATGATGTGTAAAAATTGTGGCCTAGTTGTAAAATAATGATATTGATGTGATATTTACTTTAATTAAGGGCCCCCTTTCTATCCCCTTTTTGGTTTTCTACAGGGTTTGCTTTTGGGACGGGTGGGTGGGGGTAAAATTGGAAAAAAATTTCTTTTTAACCACTATCTAAAATTGTGTGCAAGTCAAAGTGTGGTGAATAAATAGGGACGGAGGGAGTATAAAAGTATTGTCATTTTTCATATTACAAAAAGAAAATCTACTTTTGCAAAAAGAAATTTTATTAGAATATAAAGTTAGCATTGATATTAAAAATATTAAATTTTTAAAAGTTATTATGGTTACATTGCACCTCAATTTATTTATGCAATATTTATTACTCCGTATAAAATAATGTATTTGTAATCAGACTTTATATATTACAAGATTTTCTTTTAAATATCAGACTTGCCTTATAATGTGATAAAAAAAATTTCATGGTTGATATTATATTTCCATTATAAGTCCTATTTTGAGAATAAAAAATGGAACTCATAATTTTTAATATAGTTTAAAATATGATATTGTCCTATTTTATCATGAGGATTAATAAACAAAACAATTTGTATTATTTATATATAAAAATTGAAGAAAAATAACAATAAGCATGACTTTTAAAAATAGTGACATGCAAAAAATAAAAAAATGAAATAATTTATAAACTATAAATATAAACATAATACTTGTAATAATAATTATAATAATAATGAAGATAATACTACTACTACTAATAATAATAATAATATTATTATTATTATTATTATCACATTAAAAATACATCGTTTTTAGACTAATTATTTGGGGAGTAGAAAAACTTTGAAGAAAAATACATTTTGGTACTTTATAGTTTACTCATATTTAGGGTGATTTTTTCATTTTAAAGTCAGACTATGATAGAACTTTTGAATGGGGTAAGGGTTATTGAACTGCGTTATAAAACAATTGTGTTCAACTACATTAAAAGATGAAATCAAATCGATTATTTAGTTCACTTCAAGAGTTTATATATATGCCAATTTTTTTTCTTCAACTCCTGATATGAGATAGATTATAACACTATCCCTCAAGTAGATAATCAGACATTATTTTTTTCTTCAACTCCTGATATGAGATAGATTATAACACTATCCCTCAAATAAATTTTCATTTTTTGATTTTTTTGAGTGCCAACACTTAAATAACCACGAGTCAGTAAATATGGACTTCCAAACGAGTAATTAGGTTAAACAAGCAACATACCGTTGGATTTACAACTAAGCTAAAGACCAAGACCAATATGAATGAACGTCTTGTTAGACGAAATACTTAACAAACGAGATGAGCTAGAATTGGTTCGATACCATGGTAGAATTTTTGGATGGGGTAAGGGTTATGTTACTCGACTGAGTCATAAGACACTTAGATGGAAGCACATTAAAAGACTAAATCCAATCGATTACTTAGTTTAACTCAAGAGTTTATATACCGACTACTTTTCTCTTCAGCTTTGGAGGTGGATAGATTCTAATAGACTACAAATTAAAAATATAATTTACCACCTCTTTTCATGAATAGTTGTCTAGTTTTTAATTTTCAAAGTCAGTCACTTTTGACTTTTAACTAATACGGAGTAATTGAATAAAAATTACATAATATAATAATTAAATAGAATAATATTTTGAATATATATATATATATATATATATATATATATATATATATCTTACAGGATGAATCTCACAAAATAATTTTTTAATCAATACCTAATATCAAAATTTTAAATTATGCTTGAATTTAGGATTTTTGCACTATTTACCCTTGAACTTTTCAAAAAATGCACAAATTTCTCCTGAACTTTAAAAATTGCACCAATATCCTTGAACTTTTATGAATATTTCACCAATGTCCCTCTGTGTCAGATTTAGAAGAGCGTTATTCACACGTTCATCCAATGCAAATATGAATTCATTTAAAGTCATATATCCTACGTGAGTACTGCAATATGCCTTCTTAGTCAATATGCCTACGAACATCAATTGATAACGCTCGTCATTAACCGATCAACATCTTCATCAATCTATAACATCGTCATCAAGCTCCATGATGTATATTATATTGATGAGCGTGTGATGAACGCACTCCTAAATCCGACACAGAGAGAACGCTGGTGCAACAACAACCCTGTTGAATCCCACTACAGTAGGGTCTGGAACGTTGGTGCAACATTTTTAAAAATTCAGGGGCATTAGTGCAATTTTAAAGTTCGTGGTGAATGCGTGCAATTTTGGAAAACTTAGCTTCATGGTAAATGGTGTAAAAAAATCGTTAAATTTATCAGTTTTAATTAGAAAAATTAAAAAAATAGACAAATACCACGGGAGTTAAGGTTGTATTTATATAAAAATTACCACATCCATAATGCTCATTGTTATTACGCAATTACTCCGGATACATCAAATTTAGAGAGCAGAGCAACCGGATTATGGGCAATAAACAGAAGTATAACCAATGAAGATGCAGGATGAATATTATATGATCCCTCTCCCCCCTGCATGCACATGCTTATTTATCTATCTATCCTAGCTATATATAAACACGTACGTACGTTAGTACGTACACCCATGAATATAACGTTACGAAGAAGATGAATTGCAAAAGACGCAAGTACCCCTCATCAAAACCTGCACAATACTCCCTTCCCCGATCTCCATCCTCCTACTCTGCTTGTTCCACAAATGCACCCCATAACTCCCCCTCCTCATCTCCTCCGCCCGCTCCGCCGCCCACTTCACATGCGTCACGTTACTACCGCCCTCAAAAAGGCCCCCGATTCTCCCCCAACCCACCGGATAAAACGCCCCCGGGGGCAGAACCGTCGCGCCCCCGCACCCTTCCCTCGCCACCACCCTCGACACCAGGTAGGGCCCGTTGTGGCCCCACTTGTTCCCGTCGAACGTGAGAGCGAACTCCTCGATGAACTTCCTGACCAGGGGATGCCCCTTGTCGAAAACCATCACCGCGTTGTTCAGCCTGCTCCAGTCTCCAGTCTCCGGATTCATAGTCTGGGCCCCGATCGCGTTCCTCAGGCCCGAGAAGCTCTTCAGTATTATCACGTCCGTGTCGACGTAAACCCCTCCGAACCGGTACAGTAAGCCGAGTCGGAGAAGGTTCGAGAGGTTTTGACCTATGGAAACCTCCCCGGGATTCACGTCCCCTCTCGTTAGCCGGTCAAACCAGCCCTGTGCCGAGGTGTTCTTGAACAGGTAGTTGAAGTCCGGGGCCAAAGCTGTGATTTTTAACCCCTTTTCCAAGAAGGGTTTTAGGATTTTTCTCTTTCCGTCGACTGAATCGATGGAGTTCGAGACTATGATCAGACAACCTGCGGGGTGTGCTCTGAACAGGCTCTCCATGGCGGATTTCTCCCTGGAGCCGAAAGACTCGACAGAGGATATCCATGTCATGAAGAACCTTAATTTGCACGAATTCTCTCGCAAAAATCCCTTGGCTCTTGTGGAGAACTGCGGATTCGATCGATATCCAGAACCCATGGCTCTGATCATCAAAGACCTCTGCTTTCGCCTTCTCGCCGCCAATGCGGCGGCGGCTGTGTTCTTGAACGCCACCAAGTTTCGATTTTTCCGAGAAACCCGGAAATGGGTGTCCGGTTTCACCGCGTACATGAGCGAAGACGGCGACAGCTTCCTGGGAGATGCCGCGGAGATCAGGGCTCTTCTTGATTTTCCGGTGACTACGTTTTCCGGGGAAAAGCTCGCCGGGGTCTTCGGGGGGAAGGGGAGGCGGAGGGAGAATATGGTGATGGCGCCGTTGCATGCCAGCAGGAGAATCGTGATGAGAGAAAGAAAAGCGTACAAGGACTTTCTCTCCCCTGAAGAGGCGGAGGCGGCGGCGGTGGCTCCGGCGCAATAATTAACAAACCCCATGGGTATTTCTGGAACAAAACACAGTTTTCACAGAAGGATCAAACAGGAGGGCATTTTAATGGATTCTTTGGGTGTGAAAAGAAGCCAAAGTTGTGTTTTTTGAGAGGGCGGGTGGATCATGCACGGCGGATGAGAGATGAGCTTCCAGTCGGTCGGTTATGTAAATATCAGCGACTGATGCAATTCTTCAGGGAGAACATATCTCTTGAGAGTCTTTGACTATGAGGACTCTAATGCTTCTAGGACTAAACTTTTGTACTCCCTATTAATTTAATCACGTTAGTTTTTTTCTTTTTCTTTTTCTCAAAAGAAAAAATATACGAGTATCAAGTTAGTTTTTCATCCATTACGGAATACGGAGTAGTTTGATGACAAGATACTTGATACTCCTAGAGTCCTATGGATGGTCAAAACTAAGGTTCTATTCAATTTATTTTTTTGATCTAATCTAATTTTTGTATTTTTCATCTGATCTGATCTGGTCTGATCTGATTGGATCTGGTCTGATTTGATCTCATCTTATTCGATCTGATATGATCTAATTGGGTTTGGTCTGATTTGGTATGATCTAATATAATTAATTATGATTTGAATTAAAATTCAAATCAATAATTTGATTTGACTTTATAGTAATGTTTAAAGTTGTAATGAAAATTCATATTATAATATAATCAATATTTTTTATATTATTATTACTTTTTAATAAAACAAAATTAGTTAATTCATATATTAGAATAATCATTCATATTATAAACTAATAGTATTTTTTATTTTATGATTATTTTTTTGAAATAAAAATATTGATTTAGTATCTTAATAATTAGTTCATATATACATTAGAATAAATATTTAATTTATATATACATTAAAAAGTAATTAAATTTAGATAATCAATATAGAGAAGAGATAGTATTTTTATTAAAAAATCTCATCCTTATAAAAGATCAAAAGTTTAGAAACTCAAATTACAGGTAGCAATAAAAATGTATATTAAAAGTAAAATTAGATTGACATTGTCAATGTATTTTAAAAATAAATTTTCCGACATCTAATAATTAAGGATTACTTTTTGAGTTTTCTATGTAACTTGTTTCTAAAGTTTATTCTTTTTCATTTATAATAATAATAATAATAATAATAATAATTGATGGGATCTGATCTGGTCTGATCTGATTGGCTCTGATCTGATCTAATTGGATCTGATCTGATCTGATTGGATTTAATCTGATCTGATTGGATCTGATTTGATTTTAATAAGAATAAGAAAAAATAAGAAAAAATAAGTTGAACGGAACGGGACCTAAAAGATGTAGTACATTCGTCCTTATTTTGATTACAAATATGGAAAATAAAAAAATGAGTTTTTTTTAAATTCATTTTATTTAAAAACTGAGACATAAGTAAAAAATAAAACTTACATATTTAAAAACCACATCAGAAGTTTGCAAATTCAGAGGTGACAAGAATATTTTATTTTATTAAATAAACAACGAAAATACTCAAATAAAAACTTGTTATGATTTTAGAATAGTAAACATTGTAATCAATTGTGGGACGGGGGAGTATAAAACTTTAATGATACAAAACTATTTATCATGTCTATAAGACTATGTGGTACATAGCTTGGTGATTAGAGCACTGGTAATACGTTTGAAGCCCCGGGGCTTCAAACTTTCTCTCTCTGCCACGTCAGCTTTAACTTACACCCAAAATTCACTGGAAATGGGTTTGAAGCCCCGGGGCTTCAAACTGAGGCTTCAAACCTTCATTTTTTACATTTTAAATATACATCTTCTAAAATTAAATTAATAAATTTAAATTAATTTATTATTTAATTAAATTGAAACACGAATAATAAAAAAATACATTAATTAAATAAAAAAAGCGACAATAATTTAAAAAAAAAGATACATTAATAAAAAAACTAAGGTAAATTATATTTCTCCTTGATCTCTCTCATCGCGGCGTCGACGGGCGGGAGATCGTCGGGAAAGAAGCCGGAGCCGGAAGGATTCATGTTGAAAATTGGGAGGGGGGGTTTGAATTTTGAAATTTAAAAATAAAAAAGAAGATGAGATTGAAGAGAAGGTGTGAGAGATTGGTTGGGGAGGGTTGAATTTATAGGAAATTTTTTTTTTAAAAAAAAAAATGGGCTGCAACGGCTAAAAAAGCCGTTAGGAGGGAGCCCAAGAAGATTCACGCCGCGTCAAACGAATGACGCGGGGCTCCTCACGCCCCTTTAACGCCGGCGGGGGGCGGTGTTTCACGCCCCCGGGGCGTTAAACGCCCCGTAACGCCGGTGGGCGTGAGGAGTATACCCAGTGCTCTTAGGGTGACCAGCTGATGTGGCGGGCGTGATTGGGCGTGACACTGCACTGAAAAGGTGTGACCGGGGCGCGACCCCTCTAGGGGTAACGACCATCACCCGATGGTGACATGATAATATTATTTTATCAAATGACTAACAAAAATATGAAATGAAGTGAATAAAGTTTCACCATGTGAATAATAAACAAGTAATTTAATTTGGGACGAAGGGAGTATTATTATGGTATTTTTGTTCTAATATTCCGGATATTTTTTTGTGTAACTTATTTAAGGTTGGTATTTTCTTTTATTTAGTATTTTAGTTACGTTTAGATCGATGAAATGTTATCATTTTGTTATTGTGTGAATTAAATACTTGCACATAATATCGTTTTATGTATTGTAAAATTAATTATTAAAAAATTGAATATTTTATAACTAGCAACAAGTATAACAGCACAGTTGAATCTCACAAGAGAAAAGTCTGGGGAGGGTGTGTGTAAGCATACCTTACCCATACTCGAAAGTAGAGAGGGTTTAAAGAGACCACCAACTCAGCTTCGAAAGTTGTATTGATTAACTAACTCTTACTTCGTTAATTAAAGAAGCACATATAATTTAAAGATCCATTTTACTTTAATCTATCATACCCCAAAGCCAAAAATGGTGAATTATTATTAATTTATATATAGAAGCACACACCTTAAAATTAATTTATATTATTAATTTAAGTTAATTAATTAAAAAATATTTGTAGTAAGTTGGTGATTTCACATATATACACCTTTTAGCAAACCCTTCAGGTGGACTTCCATGGGTTGGACTACTAACATGATAATGACCCATCATGATTGAACATAGATGAGACCAACCGGAAAAGGCCCAAACAATGCGCACAAGGATAGTTTGGGCGAATCTGTATAGGGCCTGTATTGGGTCCAGCCTGACCATGCGGGGTGACCCGTGGGTGATTGGTCGAGTGGCATGACACAGTCAAATCATCGAACGATCACATAACACCGGTCAGGTAGCTTGTCATCGCAGAGGATTTTAAAGTAAGCAAGACAACCCGCCGAGAAATTGATCATGAGTATTTTGGGACTTGTACTGACTTGAACGCGATGACAGCCCAACACGGTTGGACGGTAGTAGCTTGGAAACAACTAGGCCAAGCTAGATGCCTCTGGACCAGTAGGCTTTCCGAGACATCCCGACCCAAGCACTACGCGCCAAGGAGGACACCCAGAGAGGAAAGCATCCAGGAAGGGACAAACGCTACAAAACAAGGAAATGTCATGTCTTCACGTGGCCAGGCATGGGTGTCTGCCACCCCGTCTCCTTGCTTTACTATATATAGGTTTGTAACCCTGAGTGGAAGGTATCTGAATTTCATCTCTCTAAACACATTGTGTAGTATCTCCCTATACTCTCCTCATACTTAATAACAGTTGGGCTACATGTGTTCCTGCCTATAGTCTTTTTGGTCAACTCTTGTTTATTCTACCCTCTCGGTCTTTAAACTCAGCAAACCATCTTGGACCCGGTCTAGAGTAATTTGCTCGGGTGGTTTATTTACACCATCAAATATAGATTGTGATGAAAATGTCATAGCCAGGATACAAGTAAAATAAAATAAATTATCACGGATCGAGTTAACTACAAAGTATCAAACGTATTTATTTATGTACTTCATCTTATCATATACGAAACATATCGTATTGTGTGTTCCTTTTATTATTTGTTCATTATTTTTATTCTTATTATTAAATTTACTATTATTCTAATGATTTATTAATTTTGTTATTATTTTATACAATTGAAAAAAAGTTATTGTTTTTAATATTATACTCATTATCTTTTGTTTACAAATATGATCCTTTAAATTTGTATACTTTTTTAAACAAATGTGTAATATAGTGTTGTACGTACTACGCAGTGCAATATTTTATTTTTATTTCAATATTTAAATTATGAATAATTGTTCTTTTGAAGGGTTTTAGCATGATATTATATTGTACCCCGTATCATTTTTTTTAATATGGGACAATTTTGTCAACCCCGATGAATGATAAGTTCCCATACCTCTTCCGTTTCAAATTAAATTGTCTGTTTATTATTCACAAGGTCAAATTTCATTCACTTTTTTCTCTTTTTTCGGTAGTTGTTGATAAAATAAAATAATCATGTCACAACTTATTTTGTAGATTTTTTAATATAATATTTTAATATGACTTTGTCATAATTCTAAACCATTTATCATATAAAATTATTTAAAAATAATTTTAGGGGGGTGTATTCAATTGAGAGTCTGTGTGATTTGTTTGGACTTTCAAAATCTGAGGATATTCAATCTAGATTTCTAATTTTTTTTTTAAAATCCTAAGGTATTCAATAAAGATTTTAAAAAATTTTAAAAAAATTTTAGGTATTCAAAAGTCAATGAATTTTAATACTCCATAGATTTTGCTGGATTGTCACGCAAAATATTGCTTATCTCAAATCTCTTTTTAGATCTTCAGATTTCGATGGATTTGGACAAAGCAATTGTGTAAATCTTCTCATACCGCCGGCCATCATCCACGGTCCACCAAGTTACTATTCGGCGCCGTCATGACCGGCGAGGAAGCACTCTGCGATGCAGCTCGAAGGGGCGACTTGGACAAAGTGAAATCATTGATAGTGTCCGGAGCCGATGTCACATACTTCGACAGTAATGACCTAAATCCATTGATGCACGCCGCCAAGCAGAAGTGTGCGCTGTGGAAGATGTGTTGGCCTGCGACCCTTAACCTCAAGTCTATGGAAAACCCGGCCCCTGCCAAGGCCCAATACAAATCCATGGAATCTATGAAGTCCATGTAAAACAATAGGAAATTGGATAAAATCTACATGAAATCTATGAATTTTCTAAATTCACATACTTTTTAAAGTCTAAAAAAATTTAATACAATCTCAATTGAATACATCGTTTTAATTAAACATCATAAAGAAACATGACATATAAATTAGGAGAGAGGTGTAATGTTGAACTAGCCGTGCCTCGCTCTAATTTCGTTATTGGCGGGCGTATTCTCCCTTGGCAGCCTTTATTGACATTAATCCGACTCCATTTTCCCCGATCTGTCACTACCAGTCTACCACTACTAGTAGTAGCTCACACACAATCAAGCAATCAAAAAACAAAATGGATCAAATAGAGCACAAATGGGTTGAGGTCAACGGGCTAAAGATCCACGTAGCCGAGATCGGTAGCGGGCCGGGTCCGGCGGTGCTGTTTCTGCACGGCTTCCCCGAGATCTGGTACTCGTGGCGGCACCAGATGGTCGCGGTGGCCGGAGCTGGTCAGAGAGCCATTTCCATCGATTACAGAGGCTATGGGCTGTCGGATCAACCGCCCGAACCGGAGAAGACCACCCTCCTTGATTTCGTCGACGACCTTGCCGCGCTGCTCCATCTTCTTTCCATTCCTAAGGTCCCCTCCTTTTCCCACCCTCTTCTTTCTGTCTCTTTTTATTTATTGCCAAAACCTAATTTTATGGCTGCCATAAACTTCTAACAAATTTCTTATCATAGGGAGTGATAGATGTTAAAGTATAGGTTGAAGAGAAAATTAATCGGCATATAAGTTCTCGATCCGAACTAATTAATTGATTAGATGGCTAAAATCCACATTAATTCTTCAGCTTTATGGGTTGTGCACGGTTGGTCCTCCAAATTTCAAAAGTCCGTGAATAGTCCTTCCACTTTATGAGTTGTGCACGATTGATCCTTCAAATTTCAAAAGTTCATAAGTAGTCCTTCAAGTACACGTCATGCTTCTAGATGAGGTCCTTTTGACGGTAAACATTAAAAGTTCAGTGAATTTACTCGTATTATATGGAACTAGTGTATAAAGTTCTTGAACTGAACTCATTAATTGATTAGATTACAGTATATTTACAAGGATCACACTTGTTTGTTCAGGTTTTTGTGATAGGTAAAGATTTCGGGTCAATTGTTCTGTCATACTTTTGCCTTCTCCATGAGGATAGGGTAGCTGGGTGTGTTACACTTGACGCTCCATTCATGATTTCGCGAGCTTCTGGATTTACCAGTAACCTGCCTGAAGGATTCTATATTTCAAGATGGCAGGTATATAATACTATATAGCCTATGATCTTCCCTAACCCTTGCCGTAAATCGCGGTATCTGTCTCAACTGGCTAGGGACAACAAGATTTTTGCTACGGCTAATCTCACCTACAAGGGACCGACCGAATCTAAAGAGTATGTGAGTTTTGGTTTTCAGGAGGAGGGGAGAGCGGAAGCGGACTTTGGTCGTTTTGATGCCAAGACGGTGGTGAAGAATGTCTACATCCTTTTCTCCCAAAGTGAGATTCCGATTGCGAGTGAGAACCAAGAGATCATGGACCTTGTCGACCCGTCCACCCCTCTACCACCATGGTTCACCGAACAAGACCTTGTAACCTACGGAGACCTCTATCAAAACTCTGGTTTTCGAACCGCATTGAAGGCTCCATACAGGTAGCTATAAGTCTATAACCACCCAACTGATGTGCCCGTTTGCCAACAGTTTCAGCGTTCTGAATAGGTTGTTTAACAACAGCGTTTAGTTTTAGCATTTTCAAACATTGTTCCCAAACGAGCATTGGATCCCTTTGTTTGTAGGTCACTAGGTGACAAACAGCCCGACCTGCCAGCGGACCCACGGATCAAAGTGCCGGCATTGTTCATTGCAGGGGAGAAGGATTACGTCATGAAGTTCCCGGGAATGGAAGAGTACATAAGAGGTGGGATGTTGAAGGCTTTTGTGCCCAATGTGGAGATTGTCTATGTTCCTCAAGGAACTCATTTTCTTCAAGAGCAGTTTCCTCAAGAGATTAATCAGCTCATCCTCAACTTTCTCCATAATCACAATGCCAGCTAAGTACTCACTGGTTTCCATATATACCACTGTATAATCATATATATGACCAGTCATATTAGGGGTTTGGCCATGGGTGCATGCCTTAATCCTCTAAAGTGAAATTAAATAATGACTGTTGTCTATGGTTTAGCTCTGCTTACGCAATTATTACATCTGTAATGCTTATGTTTAAGGTAAAAAATTATAATAAAAAATAATAATAGAATAAAAGTGCTTAAAATGTCAGAGTTTTTTTAATTCATTATATATTGTTGCATATGGCTAGTCAAAACGTGACACGGAAAACCAAAATGCATGGATGAAGCAAACGACACCATTTCCCTCCCATTTGCTTGTTCACTTTCCATTTTGGGTGTTCGAAAGTATTTAGGGCATGTTTTGCAGCATTTTTTGTGTTGAGATTTGGCGTTTTGAAAAAGACTAGTTAAATTGTTCGCATTAGATGATTCGTTATGAAATTTTTTGCTTTTATTTTTGCATTTGAGATTGGTAGATGTGCCCCATGAATCAAAATTTCTACGTCCACCACGGACCATACGCTTGAACATATGGTATAATTAGTTCTTTGACATGGTGTCAGAACGTTGACAATGGTACCTCTCTCCAATCCTCAGTTGGACTTGATCGGACATATGAATCTTCTTTTCTTAAAAGCCACGTCATACCCAACACTTTTTTTTTTGTTTCACCATTGCCAATCCGTCGCACACAGCCTTTTGCCAAGAGCTGTCTCCACTCAATGAGAGAGCGCCAAACACAACTTGGGTTGTTTGATGAACGAGTTAGGCCTCGTCAAGAGGTTCCAACACGTTTTAGCTCATAAGGCCAGGTTAAACCAATGCATTTGTCGGAAGCCTAGTCCCCCATCAATCTTATTTTTGCTCAAACGTTTCTAGGAAATCTAGCTTAATCTCCGACTATCTCCATATTCAGATTTCCACCAAAACTTATTGATTGTTGTCTCAATTGTATCACAAATGGTTATTACCGGAATCTGAAACATTGCCATCACATATCATACGTCAAAATTGATTGAATAACCGTTTTGATAAGCATCTCTTTCCCTGCCCTAGAAAGGGTTTTATTTTTCTAGCTTTGAATTTTATTCTAGACACGGTCGTGAATGAATTGGAAAATCTCCTTTTTGTTCCTACCAACCACCGAAGGCCGTCCAAGGTATTTCCCTGTAGTTATTGCTTCTTGCACCCGCAGTTTCCGCATAACAACCTCTCCATCCTCCTCTGAGGTATTTTGTCTAAAAGTAATGTTTGATTTTTTATTATTCAACAGCTAACCTGGATAAAAAACTTCTCTTTTATTGGTTTTCAAGAACAAAGATTTTATAAAAATTTTAATGCATGTACCTCATTTTTTAGCAAACTTTTTTTAAAAAAGGAATATATTTTATACTCCGTTGTTAAATACTCCACAATATTTATATAACACAAATTATATTATTATTGGATTTTTGATACTACTATTCGTATTAATCTATTATAAAATTAAAATAAAGTTATATTTAGAGAATATCAAAACTTTAGAAGATAAACTTGTGCGAAACACAAAGTTAACACAATTTCCGTGTATAAGAACCCCTCATTCTACTACTCCGGTTCTCCCACAAAGATCTACTTTCTTCATTATTCAAAAATTACGGGAATGTTAGTTTTTTTGTGGGTCTTCATCGATTATTCGATGAAATAAAAAAATTTTATCGTCTCTTATTTATAGAATTTTGATATTATTTTTAAAATATGTTAATGTTATCTTTATTTTATATCAATATTTAAATAAAATGAGTTAAAAAAATTTAAGATTTTACTTTGTTTTGCGTAAAGTATATTTTATTTAGACATGAAAAGACTATAAATATTTAATATTTCAAAATTATATGGTATCTTTTAAAACGAATTTATTGAAGAATAGAAAGCAACCGCGGTCCATTAATTAATGCCACTGTCGTACCCCGGACGCGGTAGGGTGTACGTACGGCTTACGGGTATGAGAAAAAGTATGTGCACTCAGCCACTGATTATGACCAAGCTTGCTTGCCGGCTTGGTGCCATTATTATATGGACTTACTCCCTCCGTCCCCCAGTTTTTGTCCACTTTTGACTTTTGGAATTGTTTATCTAAGCACTTTGACTCATCACATTCTCTCAATGTATAAGCCTAAATATAGTCATGCGTGATCTTGTTTGATTTGTCTTAACATATAGATTATTAATATATACTCCCTCCGTCTCGGAGTATTCGTCCAGTTTTGACTTTTGGAACTGTTCATTTAAGCACTTTGAGTCATCAAATTCTCTCAATGTGTAAGCCTAAATATAGTCATGTGTGATCTTGTTTGATTTGTCTTAACATATACTCCCTCCGTTTGGAAAAACCCTTCCCATTTGATTTGGGGGCAAAAATAAGGAATTGTTAAATTATAGTTGATTTCCAATTTTGCCCCTGATGTGATGGGTAAAAGTAAGATGTGATGGATTGGTTATTAGAGAAAAAGTATGATGTGATAGGTAGGGTATGAAAAAGTAAGGGTAAAAGTGGTTTTTTAATAGAAAGGGGAAGTGTTTTATTGGAAGAGGAAAAAATGAAAGAGAAAGTGTTTTTGAAAACGGAGGGAGTAGATTATTAATATATAATTTCTATAATTTTTTAATATACAAATTACAAGATAAAATGGATTAAAAAAGTGTATTGGATGGTGTGTAAAAACAAAAAGTGGACAAATACTTTGGGACGGAGGTAGTAATTTTTATAATTTTTTAATATACAGATTACAAGATAAAATGGATTAAAAAAGTGCATTGGATGTTGTGTAAAAATGAAAGTAGACAAATACTCTGGGACGGAGGGAGTATATTAAATTCATTTTAAGTTTTTAAGTTTTAACTGCCTTTCGTTCTACAAGAAATTCATCTTTCTTTATGTTTTAGATGTATGTATATCAGAACTTTTTTTTGGCTTGAGTGATAGCAAGCTCATTCTCATGATTCATGTGGAAGTTCATTCAGATTCGAGTCTCAACGGAGTCAGAAGCATTTAGTCTTTGTGCGTCATTAAGTATAAATATTTATACACTTTAAGCAATATAACAAAATACCCGAGTACAAAATTTAAGTTCTTTTAATTTATTTTGTTTAAACTTTAAAGGTAAGTATAAAAATTTAAAATATAACTTGCATATTAAAAAGCTATGTGAGTGTTTCTCTATTATTATAAATTGATCAAAACTGCTTATAAACAATTTTTAACTTATAAGTTAGCTGATGACATTTTCAGTGTACTTATAAGTTGACTTATAAGTTGCTTATAAACCAGAAAAATAAGTAGGTCTTAACTACTTATTTTTAAGCCAGTTTTTCCGTTTCTCCATTTTGACTAGATGATTTACAAAACTGTTCATCACTATTTATGAGTATTTCCAAGTGACTTATTTATCATTTAAGTCATTTTACTTTAATGAAAGAATATTTGACTTATAAGCAGCTTATAGGTTGAAAACTGTTTATCAGTAATAAGCCAATAAGCACCAGCACAGAGAAACACCCTCCATGTCAAAAAATCTACAAAACAACAGATGACAAAATTATTTGATTTTATCAAATAATAAATCAAAATGCACAAATAGATAGAAGTTCTTGTGACTTTAAGTGAAGGGTGTAATTTTTTTGGAACGTAGAGAGTATTTAGGTGTACTACCTTCGTTTAAGAGTATTTCTTTAGTTTTAACTTTTTTCAATCAAAATTGATAAAAATGGCTTTTAAATAAATAAAATTTATATTATATATTGATATAAGATAAAAATTATTAGATATATCTTGTAAAAAATATCACACTATTATTTTATCTTGTTAATATACCATCTTCATTTTATTATATGTCAAATATTGATCTAAGTCAAAATTGAACAAATACTTTAGTACGATATAATGTTATTATATCCTCTCCCATCCCCGGCCCGCATTTGGCTTTCGTGTCCTTTAATCCAATATGCCTGGGTGGAGGCCTTACTTATGCCCAATCTAGACTTTGAATACAATTGAACCCTAACTCTGTATATATTTTCAAACTTCTCAATCAATCATACAATTATCAATTGATAAAAACGCTATATGGTATCAAAGATTTTAAATTCTTTTCCTAATCACCCGTCGCTTTCACCTTCCACGATCGTCTACCGCACACAACTTCTCATCGACAGTACTTTGCGATCACCAAGGACATCCAATCATATAACTTAATGGCATTACCCATTTTTACGATCAAAATAGTACCCACCAATTTCCCGATGATGCCATCGTCAAGTCCGGTCTATATGCTCATAGGCCTTGAATTAGTCGACTATTTTAATTGATGGCATGATGACTTCACCCTTAAAAACTCTTGCGAGTAGCAAATCCGTGCTACGCTGTTTGGTTCCGTCATGATTGGGCTATTATTGGAGCTCTTCATGGAAGTTGCTCCAACACCATTCAAGCTCTCATCTCTAATGTTGACACTACCTGTGAAGTCTGGCTCAATTTACATAGTAGCTTTGTTAGTGCAAGTCGGGGTCGTGTCATTCATCTCAAGTCTAAACTTGTGAAGAATTCTCGCGGCGCATCTCAGGTGACACTATGCTAGGTACCCCCGATGGCAATGCTCAATGCATGGGCTACACTATTTTGGTGATAGATTTTAGGTTTCTTTGTAAAAAAATTAGATTATTGGGTCAAAGTAAAATTGGGGAAAGGGTTAGAAAACTAGAACAAGTTGAAATCTGGTATATCAGTCTAACCTGCTAATATTTTGGGTTTGGATCGGAAAGGACCAGAATGTTATAGGCCTAAAAGTGTGGACCTGAACCCGAGCTGATTGGAAACCGATTCCACTTGAAACAAGTTATTCGATCCAGTCTAATTTTCATGTCTAATCCATTATTTGCACACCTCTAGCCATAAGCAGTCTACTTGAATTCAAATCATGAGTTTGATCCATAATTTGTACACTACAAGTCATAGGGAGTCTACTTGAATTCGAATATCGAATCTGATCCATTGTTTATACATATTCGAATCTTGACAACGCTAAAACTGAAGAAATATTAGTCAAAGCAAAGGGGGCGGATGGTGCCAGCGCATAGATGAGTAACATAATGTCGTGGTACGACCACGTGATCCTTTTCCTTATAAAATTGACCTCTCGATTCTTCTTTTCCAGTCTCCTGCTCCAGCGTTATTTTCGGCAAAATTCTTCTTCCGTCATCTCTCTCTCTCTCTGACATTTTTAGCTCGATCCTCTCCCCCTCTCTCTCTCTCGGGAGCATCTGTTCTTGCATGGCAGTTAGATTTCTGAACCAGGAGCTGTCAGATCTGTGCTTGGGGAAACCGGTGCTGCGGCCCGTGAAGGAGGCGTCCAGCATAGCGGAGGCTGTGGCGGCGTTGAAAAGGTCCGGCGAGGCCCACGTGAGCGTATGGAGGTGCTCCGATCATTCTAGGGAGGTTCCGGAGGGAGAAGATTGCCGCTGTGTCGGGAAGATCTCTATGGTTGATGTGATTTGTTATCTGTGCAAGGAGGAGAATTTGGGGAGGGTTTCCGAGGCTCTGGAATCTCCGGTTTCTGAGATTTTGCCCAAAGGCCTCCCTATCGTCCGGCATATGGAGCCCGATTCCAGGTTTCCTTCTTCTTCTTCATTTGATTCTGCAATTTAGTGATTAATTGATTTGTTGGGTGCTGAATCTGATAATAATTCGTACAATGAAGTGCATTCTATAATCCATATATGCTGATTTTGCTGTCTTATCTTTCGCGTCTTGAATTCTTGTCATCAAAATTTGTCCTCAATCGTAGAAAGCTAATGATTGTGGTACATATTGGCACACTTTCTGATCAGTTTTGTTTCCTAGAACCAACCTTTCATATAGATGAGAGGGAGCATTTAATATCTCTGTTTTGCATAAAAGATCTGATTTGAACTGAAATGCTGAAGATTTTTCTCCTCTAATTTTAAAATTTCACATCAAATCTTCTGTGTGCAGCTTGCTGGAGGCCATAGATTGCATTCTTGAAGGCACTCAAAACCTGATCATACCAATACAGCAGAGCTACTCGAGCAGCCATTCAAGGAGAAAGCAGCATTTGAGTTCCTCCTCGAACCACCACGGCGTCGAGTACTGCTGGCTGACACAGGAAGACGTGGTCCGTTTCCTTCTCAACTCCATTGGCATCTTTTCGCCATTGCCAACCTTCACGATCGAGTCCCTCGGCATCATCGTCTCCCGCGACGACACCATGACCATCCCGTACCACGAACCCGCCGCCAACGCCTTGAGCTCCGTCGCCCGGGCCCACGCCCAGCAGACCTCGATCGCCGTCGTAGACGACGACGCCCGGCTGATCGGCGAGATCTCGCCGTCCACCCTCTCCTACTGCGACGAGACGGTTGCCGCCGCCGTGATGACTCTCTCGGCCGGAGACCTCATGGCGTACATCGACTGCGGGGGGCCCACCGAGGACTTGGTCGAGCTGGTGAAGCAGAGGGCGGGGGAGAGGAATCTCGGCGCGCTGCTTGGGGTGGTGATGGAGGAGGAGTACTCGGTCTCTTCCGTATCGTCGTCTTCGGCTTCTAGCTGTTCTTCGGACGACGAGTCATTGCTGAGCAAGAGCAGCGGGTCGGGTAACTATTACTGTCTGAGGAGATCGGAGGCGATCACTTGTTACCCGTGGAGCTCGCTGGTGGCGGTCATGATCCAAGCGCTGGCACACCGGGCGAGCTCGGTTTGGGTGATTCAGGAGGACCAGAGTCTGGTTGGGATTGTTACTTATAAGGAGATGCTGAGGGTTTTCCGGAGCATTGCCAACCCTCTGCCTAATAAACCCAAGCCAGGTAGAAACCATACCAACCATTTGTGAAGTTTCTTCTCGAACCTAAGAATATTGTACAACTATTTGTATCTTTTTTGTTCACCGAATATTCTTTAATACAGTAATAATAATAATTTGTGTTTGAGAAATGAGAACAATGTCTACTAGTAGCTTTATCGTTTTCAATAATTTATTATTGGTTCAAATTAACATTGAAAAACTAACATTAAAAGTTTTTAAATAGACATTAATGCCAAAGAGAGCAATTATTGTAATGGCACCTCAAATTTGAACACTATTTTCATAAGTTGCACGGGACATTGGATGGCGAGTTGACAATGAAAGCTCTTTTTGGTGGCTTTTAGTTGTGTTCTCAATAGGAACAAATGGTGTGATTGACGGCTGTTTTTTTGCGACTTTCTCTCTTTGTTTATCACTTTATTGGCGGTCCCAGTGACCTATTAGTGTGTTGACAGCCGAGAATCTTTTATTTTAGGAAGACAGAATTTTCTTTTTTTGTTTCTTTACAAGATTTTAAGAAAAATAAAATTAATATCGCTTTCTTGAAAGTTTTTACAAGAATACCCCATAGCTCATTGGGAGTATTGAGTGGTAATAATAATAATAACAACAATAATAATTTCAAGATTATATGTCTTCAAATGAATTCCTAAACTACATTGAAATGAAACTAAAAGAGCCATTTCATACCTTCAGATGAATAATGACTTGAACAAAAATGACACATTAAATCTAAATGCAATGTGCATAAAAGAAAATGAGTGTATAACATAGAAGCAATTTGGGCAATGAATGTAGTAAGATAGGTGAAATGCAACAGAGGAAGTAATAAATAAAATGTTCTTTTTATTTTCTCAACTAAATCCGCTAGCTACACATTGGTTATTTATAAAATTATTACCTAGTATTATTATTATACTCTCATAAGGGAAAATTTGTATTAAAAGAAGCAAAGAAATAAGATGGTGGAGAAGAAAAAAAAAAATTCACAAAGGCAGCAAATACTCCCTCCCCTCTTAAAAGAATGTCTTACTCTCCTCTTTTAACTATTCCATAAAGCTCTCATTCCATTTAGGGAAAGTAAAGAAAAGAGTGGTTCAGTTCATTTGTACCTTTTCTGCACTGCACAATTTCGCTTTTTCTTAAACTCCGTAAAGAAACAGATGAGTTCTTTAACGGGCGGAGGGTGTAAAAGAGAGGATTGTGAATGTTTAATTGAACCAGTTGAGCTCGGAGATGCAGGATGACAAGGCCTTTTGAAGGTGCAGATTCCCAGAGTCCATACCGAGTGCATCTTCATATAGCCTTCTAGCCTGCTGCAACAGCCTAACCTTTTCTCTACTTCGTCTGGGTCGCAGCCGAGATCTCTCTTGTAAAGCCGCACCCCACCTGAACAGTGCTGCATCCATCTTACCCAGCTTCTCATCAGAATCCATAAATATATCTCTCATATCAACTCACAAAGAAACAATTTTTTTTCATTTCATGTCTTAGGGTGTGTTTGGTTGGAGATGGACAGAAAATGCTTCTATCCCCTCTTTTAGTTTGAAGGAAGCATTAGGAGCATGGGGAGCTTTATGTTTCCCTTTCCTCCCCACAAACCGAACACACCTTTATTGACAAGAGTAATGGTATTAACATAATAACATAGGGCTAGGTTCTTTTGACATTGGACCTTAATGTCAAAATATGACATCGGGTACCTATGATGCTCTGTTCATAAAATTAATGGTTCCTACACCCACCCCCCGATCATCAATTTCCAAAAAAAAAACCTGGTCCATTTTTGTCTAAACAAACAATACAACATACTTCTAACCTTCCCTTAAAGGAAAGACATATGTGAGAGCATGGATTAACTATTGACGAACGAGTCACATATAAACTAGGTTCTGGAATGCTGAATAAAAGGTCTATACATACCGTCTGGTGCATATTCATTGCTTTTAGACATCATTGCGTTGAATTTATCAATTGCAGCCAGGAACACCTTGTCGGCATCACGTGCAGCACCCTGCAATTTGAGTGTGTGTGTGTCTCACAGTCAACTTCTGTGTTTGAATGGTATAAAATGCTTGAGCAGAATGAAGGGGAACAAACGGTGTTGCTAAAATACAAAAACAACCCAATATAATAATCCCAACTCTGTTGGGTCTGGGGGGTCAAAACTCAAAATGTACGTAGTCAAGAGGCTGTTTCTGTTAAACCTTAGATGAATTGTTGCATTTACTGCCCAAAAATTCATAGATCGTAAAAAGCAAGGGAAGTTTAAAATGTATGCCTTTTATATTTAGTCCAGTATGTGCCCAAAACTAAAACAATGTCAATTATGACTCTTTTAGCTCCATAAGGTGATTAATTAGGTACAAGTTTCATGGGATTGAATGCTTACTGGTCCTATGTCTGAAATCAATTGTGCACGGAAAGAGAGAGCAAGACCCCAGTTATACAATGCTCTCATATCATTCCCATCGATTGATAAAGCCAGCTTATACTGTCTTCCTGCATTAACCAGCAGTTCTTCACACTCTTCACACACATTAAAAAGATAAGACACAATTTCCTCTTTCCTCCCAACTTCCTCATTTTGCACATTCGTTCTTGCGAGTAGCATTCTCAAGTCACGACTAGTCCTCAGTTTTAGCTCTCCGTGAAGAAGGTATGTGTTTCCCAACAACCCCGCAGCCAATAAACTCATAGGTCTAATGTGTGTGGCTTTTGAAAGTATAACAGCTGACTTTCGGAATGCATCTTCTGCAATCTTATCATTACCTTTCTTCTTTGAGCAACCCTTAGCTTCTTTCAGTAGGATATTAGCTTCAGAGATGTACTTATCGAAGCTCATATCATCTGAGCTACAATCTTCTTCTTTGTCATCCCTCTTTGGCCCATCAAACATGCTATAGTTTTCTTCTAGTTCGTTGACCTCTTGGCCTTTCTGGAACGAAGAGACTGTTTCAGTAAACTCCATAGAGTTGTTCAAGAACTCACCAGATGTCCAAATCCCACTTCCATTCAGATAACCATTGTTCTTTAGAGAGATTTTCTCGTTCCGCATGTAATGGGTACGGTTAGTCTTATACCCATACTGTTGTTGCCTTCCAATAACTGATTGGACAGTATAATCCATTTCAGGCGAATATGCATTCTCATCAGCAAATGTGTTTGATCTACTCGCTTTGACATGGCTGAAAGACGTACGGTTTGAACTCTGATCAGTACTTCCATCTTTTTGAGTTAAAATATTGTTTATGTTTCTATCCTTAGTAGAAGATGCACCCAATATGTTCCCATCCATTAAGTCATTATTATCATCTTTGAAACTTTTCAATTTATTATGCTTTATATCTGGTTTTTCCTGAAACAAACCGGCAAAGAACTGAGTGAAACTAAATTGGTTCTCTCCTGGATCTTTCTTTTGTCTGCTCGGCTTTTGATTTGAGCTTCTCCCCATTTCCAGGTTTCTAATTACTATACAATCATCAATGATACTTTTGGCATTAACAGCAGATGAATTAGCAGATTCTAAACTGTTGACAAAATTTTCAAGATCACCCACTGTAATATGATTGCATTCAATCCCTTTCTTAACATCATTCTTCAAATCCAGAATCTTAGCACCAAACCCATTAATGGATTCTACCAAAAAGTTCAATTTTTCAAAAGGAACTCCAACAACATCGTCTTTGGGCATCTTCTTGGTCCCACTTGAGCTCATCTTACCTCCATTGACAAGCCCAGTTGTAAACCCAAGAACAAATACCATCATACAAGCTGGGAGTGCAATAAATGATGAAACTTTGACCCGAGAAATGGCCAAAGCACATACGAACCCCAACACATAAACAAAGACATATTTTCTGTCATTAATTCCAAGCGAGTTCAGAAGGCTGTGAAGATGGTTGGACTCACCTGAGCCGACTGAGTCCCCAGCGAGTTGAGGGGTATCCCAACCACCACAACTCAGCGATTCCGAACTTGTCGCGGCGCAGAAAGCCAGTATCTTTGGAGCCCTCGATCGTTTTCTCGTGAAGGGGTTGAGATTGTTAGGGACTTTCTGGGGAATAAAGGGGAACTGGAGAGAAAAATTCAACGGGGAGGAGAATCGGAGAGTGATAATTCTTAAAGTTATGGCATTATTCATGGTGGCCTTCGCTCCGAATCAACAGCTATCTTTCCCTCTCTATCTCGCTTTGCGTTTCTGGATTGATTGCCATAGAAATATAGAATGCGTTGGTGGATCGAATTTATTTCTGTTTCTGGAACACTACTCTGAAAATCTAACTAGACGTGCAGGTGAAAAAAAGGACGAGGTAAGAGATCTCCAATCATCTTGTAGCAAGTCAACTCATTTTTCTCTTGCCCAAAGGGTGTTTTAAACTTTAGCAAGCTTGGTAAAAAATAACTTTGGTTTGCTAAATATAACAAGCTCTTTAAATTATAAGAAGCCAAGAGTTGTAGAATGATTTAACAAGTCATGGTTGGAAAATGAATCAAAATATCACTTGCTATATCACTATTTACTTGTTAAAATATAAAAATAGCAAGCAAATATAATAAATAAGGTTGGAGATGCTCTAATTAGGCAAAAGGTTAAAAGCTTTGAAAAAAGTCAGGGCACACCAACTTGGAGTATTAGTTTTTAATTAATTTTATGTGAATCATATTAGACCGAAGTAGATCAGAAACAATTTTAAATATAATTACAACTAGATCAGATCATGCCAAATCAGATCGGAACTTATTTAAATCAGATAATGTGAAGAGAACAAACCCTAACTGTATTACAAACACACGGGCAATAAATGGCTTGCATCACACAAACAATTGTTATTTGTGTGTTTGTGATATACTTAGGGTACAAATAGCACACAATCTAATATCCCCCGTCCCTGAAAACCTTTCTCCTTTCTTTTTTTCATCCGTCCCAAAAAATACTTTTCATTTCTATTAAAAAGTCACTTTTATCCCTTACTTTTCCATAGCCTACCTATCACATCATACTTTTTTTACTAATAATCTATCCATTAAATCATACTTTTACCCATTGGAAATTCAATACCAAAATACACTCTCCTTAAATCCCTCTTCAAAATTAAAAGTCCTATGTTTTCCGGGACGGAGGGAGTAGCTTAGATCGGTTAAAGGGATCAACGAACTAATTACCAGATCTTATTACTAAATAAATGTGCTATTGTTAAGAGTATATCGTGCCATAATTAGTCTCTTGAAATGAGAAAAAATACCACTCATTTACGTCTTTAATTTTCACAACTTGATTGGGTATTATTTCACAACTTGAAATGGGAAAAAGTACTACTCATATATCATGAGTCCATTAATAAATACTCAGTATTACTTTAAATAATAAATCTTATAAAAGATTTGATATGTAACCCCATCCCAGCCGACTTTAAGTATTGTTTCCAATTTCAATGCGCAAACCCATAAAAAATGATGTACGTTCTCTCTTTCTCTACTTTCATCGTCTTAATTTGAAGTAAGGCAATGATTCCACATATTCTCGACGCTAATACCCAAGAATTTTCTCAATATCATATAATTTGTCTCAAATCACATGTAGTAGAAGATGCATTTAAAAAAGACAATTTCTTGCACCTAAGATGCATGGTAGAAATAGTACACACCTACCCATGATGGTAATAAGCAGTATGTGAGAGTGAGAAGATGCACAATGCAAATTTAGATTCCATATTTGTAGCTTTGTGAGCCTTTATGTGTAATTTTACAAACATGATCACAAACAAACACCAAAAATTCAAAATTCCTCAGCAACAATAGCAACATAACGAAACAGCCTCTGTCCTACTGTGGAGGTGACAATGTTTTTACTGAATGAAGGACTATTGTCGTATAATAATGTGCATAATTAAAATTGAACCGATGCAATTGTCTTAAGGACGTATAGGCATATAGCAATCCCATTTGGTTGATACAACACTAGCGCGCCTCTCTTTTAACTACAGTTGGTGGTGGAGTGAGGGAGCGAGTGAGTTATTTATACGGTGAAGTTGAACAAGTACAGCTTTAGGACCAAAGAAAGGGCAAGCTGCAACAAAAAGATACCAGCCACAATCAAGAACCACCTCTCCCCAGCTGAAACGATGTGCGTCCTGAGATTAAGGGCGACAAAGGTAGCAGACATAAACCCAGCCACACCAACAACCACCCATCTGAATATTTCAATTGGGACGACTGAGAGGCACTGCAACAAGAACAAGATGAGCATTGGTTATCATCACCTCGCTTGACTTAAATGGTGTCACTCCCTCTGACCCCATAGTTTTCTTTTGGGTTTGACTTGGTATTTTTTTAAAAAAACAATATAGAAAGGAGAGGGAAAATACCAGCCACACAATTCTTTCTTTAAAAGAAAAACAAGAAGAAAATTATGGGATTGGAATAGCATGAGTTAAGTATGACAATCGTTAATAGGATTCTGCGAAATCCTTGATAATCACAAATATATTACGGAGTACATTCAAATAAATACTTACCAACCAATTCTGATTCATTTTTTTTTCAAATAAGCAAAAATAATTGTACATAAAAACCGTGATGGCAGAAAAATTGGAAAAGTAAATGTAGACCTAATGTACAATACGGGACATTCAAAATTATTAAGTAGCAAAGATTTCCGGATGCAGAGAGATGAAGAAAATGGGGAATATCCATAAAGACAGATTGAAGCAGTTTAGGAAAATGAACACTTACCAATGTAGGGATGAAGACAAATAGGGAATATCCATAAAGACAGAACAGCTGGACGAGGCTGGCTGGGGCAGATAAGTACTTGAGTACAACATATAAGCAGAGAGGGACTATAAGCACATATCCATAGAATACACATGCAGACCAAGTCACCAGATTGATGTCATAGTCCCATTCTTTGTTCTGGATCTTGTGGGCTAAATATGTAACAAATGTCCCAATGGCAGCTGCCACAAATATTAGTGTAGTGCATATCCAGAATGGTCCATACCTGAAAGAAACAAGATATTGGCGTGAGGGCAATATTGTCATTTTTAAAAACATCCATCAAAATTAAAGATTTTTTTTTATCATTCAAATTTTATTAAAATATGTTTGTGTTTCTTAAATTACATCATCTACTACTTAACCGACAGTCCATTCTTAATGACTCACGAAAAAGGACTGGTAATTAGTTAACATCACAAATCAGGTCGTCTATAAATTTAGATGCTATGAAGTTTCAGCAAAGCACATAACCACAAGTGTTTGATTATAAAATGGGACCATAATTCAGATAATCAGATGCAAGGCATAATAAATTTATAGAGACAAGCCTCTGTTTTCCCATCCAGTAGAGCATAAGATATATTGCATACACTAATTACGAGAAGCAAAAATGTCCACAAATCTGGTATCAAAATAAAGCACAGGAGCATGGCCACCTATACTGGATGAGTAAAATGAATAATGCGATCAGAATTAGCACAAACTATTGAATTTGCTACATATGCAAAGTATCACAGACTAGCAAGTTATGTGTATCAGTTAGAGCCTTAGAGGTGCAACTAATATGACTAAAGAATGATAGAATAATGAATAGCTGGGCTGAGAATAATTGAATAAACAAACAAAAGTTCATGGCAGTGGCAACATACAAATCTGGGCTACTCGAAGTTTTCTCAGTAAAGGCTCCACCAAAAGGAATGAGTGAATCTTTTATCCTTTCTAAAACATCAGATGTGTCAACATCAAAATAGGGTTTGTAAGCAGAAACAGTGAAAGCACTTAACCAGCCACTCTGCTGGGGCACATCAGAGCCAGATGCTGGTTTGGAGAAAGTATCTACAAAACAAAAAATCAAAATTAAGTTTTCTTTAATGAAACAACAGAAGATTCAATATGAAAGGGGTACACTGGAAAAATAATGTAAAGGGAAAAGTTTGTAGTAACTGTATCTCTGAACTAGTTGTTCTCTAAAAGAATAAAACCATATATCATATTACTATGCCTACCAATAAATTTTAATCCTTGTCATTTTTATTCTCAGAGACAATGCTAAAATTGATGTGCAAGGATGGATAGAGTTGGGAACAAGGATTCCATGAAAATTGCGGGAGTATCTATAGAGGATAAGGATGCGCAAAAGTAGATTGATATGGTTTGGGCACATGCTAAGGATGCTCCTGTGAAGATGTCTGAGAGGCTGAAGCGTAGAATTTGAAGAGGGGTAGACTGAGCTTGCAACTTGCAGCACTCGTCAGAGATATGACTGGAGGTGAAGGATTAAAGTTGTAGATAGAAGTAGTTCTCTGTGCATGCAGGGCTTTCAAGACTAGTTAGGCATAGTGAAATATTTGCCTGGTGACCTTTGTTATCTCTCTTTTTGGTTTACCTTTTCGAATTGTAAGAGCCTAGATACTTGGTGTTTGAGCCGGGCATCTATTGAAAACAATCTCTCTACCTTTTCTAGGTAGGAAATTTAGGGATAAGTTCTTTGAATACCCGCCCCGCATCCACATCCCCAATGCTCCACTTGTGTAATTTTAGTGGGTAGGTCGTTGATGCTATTTTCAGAGAGAGAAAATTGTCCCCAAGTAATTTAGTTAAAGAAATCACCCTAAATAGGACTAAAACATAGAGAAAGTACTAAAATAGAAGTTCCATGTTTTTATTCCCTAAATAAGAGTCCGCATTGTGGTAATGTGGCCCTCTACATGTGCATTTTATGTAATTGTTGGGTTATTCGGTGAAGGCTTTAGAGCTGTGGGCTTTAAGCCTGGTCGGCTAAAGGGAAGAAACATGGGGGGCCGGTTTTAGTTATTAATTAAAGGGCCCATTAGTTGTTTCTTGTTTAGCAAGTTGTTAACCCTAGTTTATATCTTATAAATACCCAATCATGTAACTATAATCTGTGAGCACCTAATAAAAGATAAACCCTAGTTGCAACCCGTGGAGTAGGTTACTGACCGAACCACGTTAAATCTCGTGTTCTTATTTCTGCTATTTGTGTGTGTGTGTGTGTGT